AAGAGGGAGAGGAGCCAGAAGTCTCATCATCCGAGCCTGCAAATGCTGAGATCTTAATGACTTCCTTTCAGCCTTATCTGATATCTCTGAATCTGAAGTATTGCTGTATCATTTTCTCCAGAGAGTAAACTTCCTCCTGTTATGGGAGTAGGGATGGCTTGTCTGGCTCTACAAGGTGGGGAGAAGATTGAGTTCTAACTGCCCCCCCTTTTTATTGTTTAAAACAATACAAATTTATTATCTTGCTGTTCTATAGGTCAAAAGTCTGACACGGGTCTCACTGGGCTAAAACCAGGGTGTCAGCAGGGCTACATTCCTTTCTAGAGGGTCTAGAGGAGAGATCCTCCCCTTGATTTGCCCAGCGCCTAGAGGCTGGCTGCACTCTTTGCCTCTCAGTCCCCTTCCTCCCTTTTAGAGGAACAACAGCAGGTCAACTGCATCTCATATTGCATTACTCTGACCTCATCTTCTGTCTCCTTTCACTTTTAAGGACTCTATGATTACATTGGACCCACCTAGACAATCCAGAGTAATCTCCCTATTTTTTTATTGTGGTAAAAACACACACAATATAAAATATACCATCTTAACCATTTTTAAGTGTATATAGCACAGTAGTGTTAACTACATTCAAATTGTGTGCAACAGATCGTTAGAACTTTTTCATCTTGCAAAACTGAAACTCTACACTCATTGAACAACTCTTCTTTCCCTCCTGCCCCCAGATTCTGTCAACCACCATTCGACTTTCTATTTCTAAGAGTTAGACGACTTCAGACACCTTATGTAAGTGGGATCTTAGAGTATTTGCCCTTTTGTGACTAGCTTATTTTACTTAGCATAAGTTGCTTCTACCTCCTGGCTATTTTGAATAAAGCTGCACTGAACATGGGTGTGCAAATACCTCTTTGAGATCTTGCTTCCAATTTTGGGTGTATGCATCCAGAAGTGGAATTGCTAGATCTTAGGGTAGTTCTTTTTTTCTTTTTGAGGAACCTCCATATTGTTTTCCACAGTAGCTGCATTTCCACCAATTGTACACAAGGGTTTCCTTTTCTTCACATCCTCGCCAACACTTGTTATTTTCTCTGTTGTTGTTTTTTTGTTTTGTCCTGTTTTTATAGTGGCCATCCTCATAAGTGTGAGGTGACACATTATTTGGTTTTGATTTTCATTTCCCTGTTGATTAATGATTTTTAGCATCCTTTCATGCACTTCTTGACCATCTGTATATCTTCTTTGGAGAAATACCTATTCAAATTCTTTGCCCATTTTTCAATTGGATTCCTTGTTTTTGGTGTTGAGTTGTAGGAATTCTTTATATATTCTGAATATTAACCCTTATTATATACTAGGGACCCGGTGCACGAAATTCATACACTGAGGGGGGGGGGGGTCCCTCAGCCCAGCCTGCCCCCTCTCACATACTGGGAGCCCTCAGGGGATGTCCTAGTGACGGCTTAGGCCCGCTCCCTGCTCCCCTTGGGGATAGGGCCTAAGCCGCAGTCTGGCCTCCCTTTGTGGGAGGTG